ATGATTCCTCCTATATCTAGATTCCTATTTTGTCATTGTTTGTTTTTTTATTTTATTTTTTTAATTAATTAATTAATTAATTAATTATTTCCTTTTTGTCTTTTTTACTGACCGGTAACAGGATCACAACCCTCGGTGTCGCGCCCGTTAAATTAATTAATCAATTAATTAATTATTTCCTTTTTGTCTTTTTTACTGACTGGTAACAGGATCACAACCCTCGGTGTCGCGCTCGTACCGGGGACCGGCAACGGGATTGCAACCCTCGGTGTTGCACCCGCACTGCGCTCAGCCAGTGAGCGGGAACCGGTCTCCACATGGGATCCGAACCCTCGGTGGGAGCGCCGCCGCGCTCCCAAGCGGCGCACTCTCCAGTGCGCCACCGGGCCGGCCCATGTTTTGTTAATATATATGGGTTGCCTCACATTGATTAAGCTTTAAAATGTTAAGACTTTTCGTTTTTAGAGCTTAATAGGGGGCAAAGGGATTTAGAGACCATGTGGCCTGATCTTAACTACTTATAAATTAGCCGGCTGGGAATGAGCCTGGACTAGTGTTTGTGGAGCTGGTTAGTGGCAGAGCCAGGGTGAGAGGCCAGGGCTCCTTTTGCTCTGCCAGCCCATCCCTAAGGGCGTCTTCCTTTCTCCAGGAGAAGCGTGTGACTGGCCTTCCTGGAGCTGTGTCAGGGACAGCTGTTCCTACAGAAACAGGTTCCTCCTTCATTCAGCCTAAACCTCTGGGAGCTGTGGTTTGGGGCTGTGTTTTGTCTCAAGTAACTGTACAGATGTTCCACTTGGGGGTTTTTGTTGATTTTTTTTTTCTTTTTGCATAGTTGGTATCTTCCTTGGCACAACACTCCAGGTGCTTTACTTTACTAATTCTTTTCATCATCATTTAACTGTCTCTGGTGGTTAATTTGGAAAGGGTGTGGCTTGCTGAAATTAAAGTTTAGGCAGGTATGTAATATATGCATTGTTTGTTTGGTTCTTAATTCTGATTTGCTGAGGATTAGGTGATAATTAAGTGCAGAATTCTGCCCTTTATTGGTCTTTTTGCTTTTTGTTGTTCAGATTGTATTACTTTTACTGACTCTGTTCCCTCATCTCCACTGGTATTGAACCCATCCAGTGAGTTGGGTTTTTTGTTTTTGTGTGTTTGTTTTGGTTATTGTATTTTTCAGTTCTAGAATTTTCATTTGGTTCTTTTTTCTGTCTTCTTGCTGAAACTTTCTATGCTTCCACTTGCTCTAAGAGCATTTGCCCTTACTTGTTGGAACATTTTTAATAGCTGCTTCCCAGTCTTTGTAAGATAATTCCAACGTCTTGTGTCATCTTGGCACTGTTATCTATCTTTTCCCCCAAGAGTTGAGATGTTTCTGGTTCTTCGTATGCTGAGAAATTTTGAATTGTATCCTAGACTTTTGAATATTAAGTTAAAGAACTCTAGGTCATGTTTAAATACTAGGGAGAATGTTGGCATTTTTGTTGTAACAGGCAATTGACCAAGTTGGGTTCAGGCCATAAGTTCCACCCAGCCTTCTGTGGGTTATAGTTCCAATGACAGTTCTGTTTTCAGAGCCTTTAGATGTGTCCCACCTGTGTGCCACGCTGTGGACAGTCTGTCCTCGGCAGTGCCTGTCCCATTGTTCAGTTCTTACAGTCTTGTGTGTGCTGTTTAGGGGCAGATCTGCAGTTGGAGGAGAGTTTTCAGGAATTTGTGCACAACCTCAGAAGCTACTTTCTCAAGCTCCCCTTCCTTCGCAATCCCCTCAGTACTTTTTGCTTCCCTGGGACTCCCCTTTTTCAGTTGTCTGGCCAGAAAGCTGGGGCTTTAGTTACCCCACTCTGACACCCACTTCCTGTGACTGCTTATATCTGGGGCATTAAGACAGAGAAAAAAGGCAGCAGAGATTCACATCATCCTGTTGAGACCACAGCTCTTCTAATCAGGAAGTAAGGTTCTGGGTTTTGACTCCAGCAGTCTCTGGTTGTGGCTGAAGCCTCTGCTGTCAGGAGGTTGCTTGGGTCTCAGGTACAAGAAAACAGAGGAAAAACAGGAATTTCCCTCCACTCTCTCTGCGTGTTAGACTCTGTTGGCTCCTCTGGCCACTGGAGACCTTCTGGAGCACTCTCTATCCTGGTGCCCATTTTGGGGTTTCAGGCTGCGTTGAGCTCAGGCTACACTGATGCTGGTGGGGGAAAAGCAGTAAACTCACTACTGGTTTGGTATTACTTCAAATTCTGGTCTTTTTCCCCAGTCCGCCTGCCACTGTTTATTTGTCAGAGTCCTCACTTAGCTGTGGCATGCATCCTCTCCTGGTTTTGTAGCTTTGGTGAGAAGCACCAGGGGGATTGTGCTTTTACATCATTTTTCATGAAACTGGCACCTCAGAATCCTGCTCTTGGGAGCAAAGTCTAGTCAGTCAAGTGTCTGACTATTTGTGTGGCCCTCTTCCTGTTCCTGGTGCCTTAGCCCTGAAGGGTAACAAGCAAATGGAGCACTTTGCCAAGCAGCAGGGATTGTGTCTATTTCATGAGTGTCCCTAGGTGGTCCCTGTTCAAAAAGAATGCTGCTTTAAAGACTGCTTTGAGGTGTGGAAGGACTTGTGTGTGAGGTTGCAGCTCTGTTAGTAGCAACGTATTGGAAGTGACATAATGTCCGTGACAGTGAACTGGTTAATTGCATTTTTCTGTTCTTT